ACGTGACACTGCAATGCCAAATCGTGTTCCTCAGTGGCGTGAAGGTTCTTGTCAAGTATTTTGGGTTTTGACTATAAATCCAATCTATGGAGTATTTTCAAAGGGAATAATTATGGCAGTCTGCCTTCTGTCAATAGGTATGAAACTAGAATAGTTGTTCCATTTTGAAAACATGTATACCTGTATTTTGTTGCTTCTCTCCTCCCCTCTACCACCAGCGGTGTATATTCTTTGAGTCTGGAAGCTTTTTTCCCCTTCTACTTCATCATGGAGAGGACACAGAATGCCCTTTATAAAAGGAGGGTATTGGCTGTTGATCTGTGACAGAGGCTGCTGTGCTTCCATCAAGAAAGGACCCCCAGTCACTGAAGGGGAGGGAAGTGCTGGCTTGTTATCAGGCTGCAGATCAGTAACTATCATTTCCATGCACTTCTAGAACTGTTACTGCAGAATCTTGTAGAAACCTATAGGAAAGTGAACTCTACCACTTTGCTCATCAAGCAGCAGGAAAACAGCTTGATTATTTGATTCTTAGATTTCAAGTTTCTTCATGAAGGAAACAGGTTGGCCCTAGTATCCAAGCTATAGTTTCATTATCTCTGATGAATTGAAATGAAATACTGTTGCTAGCTTGGCAGTTTCAAACACAACTTACTTTCTTCTCTTTTTAGACAACCTGTTTGTAATTGCTTGTGGTTAGCATTAGATTCACTTTGGTTTATGTCCATATTACAAAATAACAAATAGTGGGATATTTCTTCCACTATTAACATTCTACTGGAATAGAACATGTTCTTTCTTGTGTAACTAAACTTAATCCATTTTTCTACATGTTTAGTTACTAATTAATGGACTGCTTCATTCAAAGGCACTTTTTCATTTTGCTCTATACAGAAAGTTGTCATGGTTTTAGGGGAGACTTTGAGATCACAAGTGAAGGTACTGAAAACATGCATATAGCTTTAGTTTTTGTAGGGAAGTTCTTGTTCTTATAACTCAAAGTTTCCTGCCCCATGTCCGTCTGTCCTCCCCCAAGTAGGAAGGTTCTGTAGTTCTGTGCAACTTTTGTGGGGTTGCAAGTTTACATTTCTAAAAAAAAACCTCTTTGACCAGATTCTGCTTATTCCTTAAGTTTTGGCAAAATGCTAGGATCAGCAACCTATGATAGATATCTCAAATAACTTCCTCTTTTCACAATTGTTGCAAGAGTTTCAAGTTACTGACTTTAAAAAGTAAATAGAGCTTTATGGTAGGGAGAACATTTTCCTAGCTTCCTAAGGAAGCAGTCTACCTGTTGTCTCTCTTGATTTTGGCCCGCAGTAAGCTTTGAGCCTGTTGTCCAATTTCGAGCAAACCTGGTAAAGGAGTCTAAAATATGTAAGTTCCTGCAATAGGAATGGACAGTGTACGGCTACAAGAGTTTACCTGGTTTTTGTCACTTGCTGAACTAGGCAATCACCAGCACAGGAAGGCAATATAAGGGAGCTGAATAACGCAGGGGGCTGTAGTACTAGAAAATAAAAAGAATGGAGGGGTTTGTAGCTAGATACAGAAATCGTGGTGGGAAAGCTTAGTGTATTGATGTCACCTGTGAGGTACAACACTGTCGAAAGCCAGAATTTTATCTGTTTTGTTTATTCTTATGCTCATGGAACTACTTATTTTTGAGATTTTTAATAAAATCACTAAAATTATTCTGTGTGCCACTTGGTGTATGTTCCTGCATGGCTAGTTCTGACTTGAGGCTATTTTGTTTTTCACTCTTCTTGAAGTTCTTTTATTTCCTCTTATCTATTTCATCATTGATTGTCAGCAAAAAGAATACATTTTTTCCAATCTGCATAACCTGATGTGTTCCCTGCTCTGTAGTACTAGCCTTCTGTGCTAAGCAGGCAGTTATTTGTTGTCCAGAGAGATGCTTGCTTGCTTTTTTTTTTTTTTTTTTTTTTAAAGTTGCCTTTTTGTTAAGCCTTTCGCTCCAGCAATGCAGGCTATACATGTATACATGCATTTTGTCTGTCAGAACCTGAAACCATGTTCTGCAGCTGTATTAGTGGTGTTAAGCACAGTCAAACTTTATCTGAACAGTGTTACATGTCCATTTCCACCTGTAGTTGAAGAACTGTGTTCTGTTTAAAGTGCTGAAGATTGTATTTAACCATGCTGTTTATGTCTCTGGCAAATTACACAACACCGTTCATCACAAGCTATAGCTGTTTGGCTTTTCAGTAATATGGGAGGGACTTCAAGGCGGTTTGTTTGTTTTAAACATTAATGTGGTTTATAGTGATTCGTTCAGGCATTCGTTATTATTCCTTTCTGATCCAGAAAAAGTGATTTATCTCTCCCAAAACCCCAAAAGGACAACTTGATATGTTTGAGACATTTTAAATATGTACTTTATTGGCTTTCTAATATGATATGCACATAGTTTTTATACAGATATTTTTGAAATGGTGTGAAAATCAAGGATTTATTTGTATGTTCAGCATACAGTTCTTATTTGAATGCTTGCATGGAGTAATATCTTGGTTGCATGACCAGTTCCAGAAGGTGCTTGTACTTTATGTATTAAGTAAGGTATTGCTAAATGGAAATACTTAGCCCAGAGTGTGCAGATAGGTCATATTTGTCCTGTATTTGGCAACAGCAACAAACGGTGAGTGTTTTTAATACTACTACTACTGGCAACAAATAATAGCTTACCTCATTCCACTGGCAAAATAGTTTACTACTTCTCTTTCTTTTGAAATAGCTTTTTGCCTGTGATTTTATAACTATCTGCTTGTTTTAAGAGGAAGAATAAACCTTATCCTTAAAATAGAAGCAGCAGCTACTCTACAGTTATTAAATATGTAAGATTTTGAAAAATTAAGAAAAAAAAATCTAGAATAGCTTTAAAAATCTTGGAGTTGTTTTACCTTTCTGGCAAAATATCTTTCTTTTTTGCTACTTAATTCTCACCAAAAATTTTGTTTTCCCAACTCATTATCATTGATGTGTTATGAGAGTGATAGCATTTGTGGTGATGAGCTCTTACGATTTGATCATGAGTGTTGTGATATTTCATTATTTTTACCCTTAAAATTAATGGTTCCTGGAGCCAGATAATTGCATGCAAATCTCATCTTTTTCAAGAATGTTTGTATATTTAGTTGTTTTAATGCATTCAAAATACAAAGGGTCAAAAACCTTATCCTTTTATTAATTTGAAATCTCTGATTGAAAGCAGATTTTTTTTTTTTTTTAAATCTTTTAAAGATCTGGGGTATATTTCAGTTTTTGTGGTTGTAATTATAGCACATTTAAGAGTAGACTTAGTAGCAAGGCTGTTTGTTAATCATGTTCATTTTGGTGGTGTGTAGGGACAAACCTAGAGCAGGATCCATAGAATTTACTGTCTAGTTAGATGAGGCAGATGTAATTGGACAAAGGTCATAACAAAATGAACACTTTAAGGATCTTAACTGCTAGTAATGCCATAACCGTAGATATTGGGATGGTGACCAAAAAAAAAAAAAAAAAAAAAAAAAAAAAAAAGAGGGGAGGATGACCCAGGAAGGTGTGCTAAATAGAAAAAGATACAAAGGTCAGTAGAAAAGCAGAGCAGGTATGGAATTGTGCTATGATGAAGAGATTAAGAGATTGGGGAGAAAATGATAAGAAGTCACTAACCTCAGGCAGGAAAAAAGTATTGTCAGAATGTGTCTTCAGCTGGTTTTTTCGTATCTTCTTTCTCTGCTGGGTCTGGTTGGTTTTCTCTTCCATTTTTCTTGACAGGTAATAGAGGCAGGGAATTTAAGATGCGTCAGTGTTTGCATATTATGTGTGGGTTTGGATGATGTTAGTCTCCCTTGACTGCCTGTGCTCAGAGGGATTGCTGGGTGGCGAGCGGTGTTTTAACATTACGTATCTTCTTATTGCCACTGCCTTCTTCAAATCATTATTTGTATGAGTGACAAACTAGCTCCACCTTTGCCTTCTAACTGGCATTTCAGTTCTGTTGCTTTTTTTGATCTAACCATGTTCATTCTACTTCTGTTTACTCCCTGTGGCACTCTTCCTCTAACTGCAGTTCAGTGCTACCATGCTTGATATTCCTTGGCCAGCTGACAGCTCACTTATCTAATGCACGTGGAGCCTAACAGTTTCATAGACAGGTACTACTTCTTGTCCTGGGCTTCTGGTCAGTAGGGTTTTTTCCCAACCTATATAATGAACTTTACCCTGCATGTAGATGAACAGAAGTAATGGCTTCACAGAGGGGTATGAACTCTTCCTATTTAAATTGCTAACGTACGGGTCTGACTAATGTTAACATGTTTAGTCATTTACTGGTTGGCTGTTCTAGCAGAAACGTTAGTCAAGCATTCTTAGATCACGAATGGAGTTTTAGTTTGTGAATAAACAAAATACCACCAGTTCTACCAGCAAATCTGAGTATTCTGTCCTCAGACTTGCTGTCAATATTTTTCTGAAAATACACAAGCAATCCTTAGTTGCGAAAATTACAGTTTTGGACAAATGTGTGTTGTTCAGAAACATTTTACTTTAAAGTTAAAAAGTATTTTTCCATTTGTATTGTGTATGTTCAGTTATATAGCCCAATACTTCATTCTTTAGCTACTTTAACTTTTACAGTAATTCATTGAAAGAACAAACTCTGATAGCAGACTCAGTTGAAGGCAGGCATTTTAGCCAAAAATTCTGCTACTGTTAATATTTGAGCAGTTTGTAATGCGCATAAATATTTGATTTATCACACATGTTTTACAAAAACTTAGAACTGAATCAATCTGTGTTCCCTGAACTGTAGACTGTCAAATGACGAGAGCACTTTTATCAATCAGCATGGTTAGAATTTCAACACAGGAACTTTCTGCATTATGTATTAAGTGATCTTGTTTGTCTTGATTCGTTTTCTACTGCATAATTACGTGGTTACTAGAAAACAGAGGGAGGGGAAGAGAGAGAGATGCATGTAATCATTTTTGTAATTTTTTTCAGGTATTTTTAGCAGCAATGATGTAGCAGTATCATTTCCAAATGCAGTATCTGGCTCAGGATCTAGCACTCCCGTTTCCAGTTCTCATTTACCTCAGCAGGCTTCAGGCCACTTGCAGCAAGTGGGAGCTCTATCACCTTCAACTGCGCCTTCTATAACTACTGTTGTTGCTGCAACTCAGGTAAACTATCACAAGAGTTTAAGATAGCAAACCATGTTATTGACCTGCTTATTTTCAATGTTAAAAGAAACAATAATTTGTTTGGAAATAGGTTAATAAACATTGTATTTGTTGTGAAAACATTACATTACAGTGGCTAGAAGTTCTCCATAATATTACCTAGTCCCATCTTTGTAGAGCACATAGATTTTTAAAAATGGTCTGTGGAAGTGTGTAGTAATAATGACTATATTATGACTAGCCGCATAAAAGCTGGTTACAGTTCATCAGTGCTCTAACCAATGTCTGTTATCAGAACAATGTTTTAAGAAAGGATTTGTAAGAGGAAAACACGTGAAGTTTTGCATGTTTCATGCAAAAATGCTGGTATCAGTTAAAGAACAGAGGGGTTTATTTGGGAGATTTGACAAATGGACAACTAAGGCTAGCCCTGGCAAAGAGGTGGCGAAGGCTGACATCTTGATAGCAAATGAAAGTTGATACAGCAAATGAAAGTTGATATATATATGCTACAGTTTTGTATTTGAAAGGTCATACAAATGAAGATATGTAGTTCATGTTTGATGGTGAAGGGATAAGGGGGGCGCTGGAGGGGTGCAGAAGGGTGACATAGTCAAAGTAATGAACCAGAAAAAATACCTTTATGGTAGTATTTTGTATGAATTTAAGTTGGGCAAGATTGCATTTATCAAGGCAAGAGAGTACAAAGTTATAGTTGTAGAGAGCCACCATGATTAGAGTATAAGTATGAAGAAATACTGTACTGGACATGATGTTTTTATACTTCATGTTTCTTGTATTTTTCATTTTCTGATGGGAATCTGTTTTACAATGAATGTATCAAATATATCTTTCTTTTGTGTGCATATAAGCGATCAACTGTTATTTTGTAGAGTCTGCAGTCATTTTAAGATAGTGGATATAAACCTGAAGAATTAAAATCCAGCTTAATACATACACACTTACATGCCTCTGTGTGTGTGTACGTGCACACATGTGTGAGTATAGTATATGTATAGCAGAAATAATATGTGCAGGCCAATACATAGTGCATTTCACTATCAAATAACACTTGGTTGTTATAGGTGGCAGTTATATTTTCATGTAATTCTTCTGGACTGGTTTCCTAAAGAAATAAGGTTTGTGTTATGCCAGTGTGACTTCTGTCTTGTAACTTTGGAACCTGTTGGCCAGTTTCACACAAAATTGGATGACATCTGTGTTGCACAAATTGATAGAAACCAATTGGAGTCTTTTTTGTTTGTTTGGTTGGTTGGGTTTTTTTGTTAAATTCCCAGAGTATTGCACAACATAACTCACTGAAGACACTTAAATTGAGCAGTCTGGAGATAAGGGGAGAGGTTGTGTCATAGTTTAATCATAGATTAAAAGATTTTAAAAAACCCCGAACAAGTAGATGCTCAGTTTTCACAGTGGAGAGGTTTACCATCAGAGTCTTGGAAAGATCAGCATTATGGCCTTTTGTACAGGTCAATGTATTCATAAATGATCTAGGAAAAGGGGGAGGAACAGAAGCCAAGTTTGCTGATGATGCTAGGTTATGCAGTGAGCTATTATGAAGATTGGCTGTCACACACTGATGAAGGACCTCACCAGCCTATGTTGACAAGGTGGTAAGGGGGCAAATGAAATTCATGTTAAAGGGAAAAGGCAGTTTCTATTCAAAACAAGACAGTAGATATCAAAAGAGGTACAAGAAGAGCCATGGTAGTGAACAATGGCAAGGAACAGCATCTTTATAAGGAATGAGTAAATAGTGTAGGACTCTTGGCCTGAAAAAGAGACACTGAGATGGCATAAGATCTATAAAATCATGAATGCCATGGATAAGTTAAATAAGCAAGAATTGTGCACCATTTGTTAAACTCTGTCAGAGCATAAATGGATTCAAAAAACGATGGAACGAGCCCATATTTAGCAGACAGGAACAGAAATACCGTAGTATTTTTTTTCCTCGTGTTGTCACAAAAAGGTGAAGTATACCCTAGGAGGTGCACTTTCTCTTGGTTTTTAGCTGAACTAGAGAGCCCCCCATAGGTTAAGTGCTTAAAATTTCTGTCCTTCTTTTGGCTCTGTTTTTTGGGAGATGTGTTGGGTTTTTTGGGGGGGCTTTTTTTGGTTGGTTGGTTTTTTTTTCCAGGAGTCATGTATCTTACCTTAGTACCTAACCTGTTTTCAAGTAGTCATAGATTTACTTGTCAGGATCCTTTTCGCAGGTACTACCATTTAAAGAGCCTTTTGGTTCTGAACTCTAAAGGGAGGTTCAAATGGTGAGAAGTTTTGGTTGACAGCCTTAAAAGGGAACTCTTGCATTTGCACAGAGAATTAACAAAGTCCTATGCTGCTTCAGTGATTCTAGGACTACACTTTGGTAACTAGGGTCTGCCAGTTGGAAACTGGTAAAGGCATAGTCCTTGTCTTTTCTTGTATCAATGGTGTCAACACATACATTTGAACTTGGTCCTTCCATCATCTGAACCATTATACAGGCATTGATATTTCAACCAAACATCATGCCTCAGGTGAGCTGTGTAGCATGACATGTCTCTTAAGTTATACTCTACAACCAAGGCACCTTTATTTGTTGTCCCAATCTTTTTTCCCTTCTGTATTCTGTGTCTTCACCATTTGCAGTTAGACTGACACTTTTCCTTTTTGTCTGGCATCCAGTAACATCCAACAGGCACGCAATGGAAATTTCCAGTTGAGGCTAAATTGCTTTAACTGTCACCTTTCTGGTTTTTTTACCCTGCTGATTTATCAGTTTTGAGAGAAACTTCCTCCAAAGAAGCTGTAGTGGTAAGAGGTGAACAGTCAGAAGAGGCTTTAAGGTCCATGGACACAGCCTCATACGTGGGGAAAATGAGTTTACAGAGTACTTTCTCCTCCATGCTAGAAAGAAGATGAATGTCTACTGTGAATTTTAAAATGTTAGGTGCTTTCATGTCCTGGTTGAGGTTTAGGATTGGTGCTACTTCTGTCATTATACCAGGCAGATTAGATGCTTTTTCTGAACTTTCAAGACTTGAAAATACCAAGCAGGTCTCCCCACTGGAAGCGTCTTTGATTCATGCTAAATCATGACAACCACCTGTAATGTGCCTTTGTTGTTCCTGGACTCTGGGAGTCTTTTTCAGTTTCAGTTCATGAGATCCTTACCAGTGGTTGAAGAAACTCAGTCAAGAGAGCCTGTTTTACCATGCAGTTGTTCTCCAATTCGAGAACCATTTTTTTTCATGCAGTTATCATAAATGATTATACTTCAAGGGTTAGAGTTTACCTACCTAGTTCTGCAAAGTTTCATCAGAGTGCTGTGTCTGCTTACTGGGCTCTCGTGGATGTATTCTCAGTGTTTACCCACCTCTTGACCATGAAAGTCTTCAAATAACTACGTGCTAATGTATTTTTTGTGTAGTGTTCCAATTAAATCAACCAAGATCCTAGCTGTACATACAATGGTTATAAGTTAAGGTAAGCTTGTGCCTCGATAGCATGTAAAAAGTAATAAGTAAAAAAGAAGGTTTTACTCAAACTATTAGTTAAGAGAGCAAGTATGCCCAAACCTTGGTTGCTCAGCTATTTCATTAGGATGGCAGACGTGCAATTGGAATAGTACTAAAAATTGGAACAGCCTCTAAGATGTGCTGCTAAGGTGCACTCCTTTAAGATTGCAGCTGTTAAGGTTTCTTAGATCTCTATTGGGCGTTTGTAGTTATGATTTTGGGGACATGATATATTTGTCAATTTTTGATGGATTTTTTTTGCCTCCTTTTCTTTAAAGCCAAGGGTGTTAAATTCTAAAGATAAAGTCTTTTCTATGGGAAAAATACATTTCCATAGAATTGGTCTCAAAATTGGCTGAACTATTTTGATTAGGAGTTTATAGTAGGCATGTAATACAGAAAATTTTGTTCATAGTGTTAAGAAAACTTGCAAGCAATTGAAAGCAACTGTCCTAAAGTGAGAAAATGAGGTAATATTACTGTGCCTTTTGTTATTTTTGAATAATTGCTATGCCCATATAAAACTTCAGTGATTAAAACCCCACTGCTGCTTTTTCCTTCAACAACTAAATACTGATTTTAAAGCTTAATAAAAAAAACCCCTTGAAAATCCTGGATTTTGATTCTTTCATTCTACTGTCTAGTATGATATTTCCCATACTGTGGTTTTTGTTTGGTTTTAAGACAAAAACACAGTATGGGCCTTGTTGCAATCACCTTTTCTTTTGTGCCTCATTTTCTTCTCCCTTATGCCACTCATAATTTTTATTTCAATCTAATAAATCCAGAAGAGATTATTAGCTTGTGTTCCATGCTGTGCCATAACTGAATTTAAATGCTGGTGTTCCTCACCAGGTGGGAATCAGTGGTCTAGTAAAACTGCCGCTTGCTGGAAATGCAGATTTTTTTGCATCCTATTCCTCTTTCTTATGTGTCTTGGGCATAGCCTCAGATAGGTTACACTGCTTAATTTAGTGAGGCTTTATTAAATGCATAACAACACATTTAACAATTGCAAGAAAATAGGAAAAAAGGCATACAGGAAAGAAGGTACAGCTCACACAAATATGTCTCCTGGTTTTCTGTGAATTGATCCTCTTGCCGTGTTTGTCGGTACTGCCTGTTTTGCATGTAACAGCAAACTACTATATCCCGAAGTACTGTCTTTTCTCTTAGAAACATGCCTTTAACTTTTGCATGAATATTAATTTGTGCTCTGTTGTTGAGAAAAATAATGTTCTTGCATTTGGATTTTGAATAGTGTCTTAATTTTTCCCTGTTAAGCCAAGTCACAAGTTGCACCACTCTGAGGTCCTATGCTCAGTTTTTATCTCAGAGGTTTTCTTGTGTTTCATAATTGTAGCAGAAATGTTTGTCAGCCTGTTGTGTTGTTCTGTAGCAGTTTGCTGTATTGCTCTTGCTTATAAGTTAATCTTAGTGACGAATGTATGTTCATAAAAAAAGCGGTGACCTGGG